TTTTTTTCCAGAAGTACCTTCCTAAGCTGTCTTTAAGCACATTCAGGACACTTAAACCTAGTCATGTTTTGTTCTGCTTCCATAGAGGTGCAGGACTTTATATTGCAGTTACAAATATGCCCTCAGTGAGTAAAAATGTGACGGATGTAAAACAAACAAACAAACAAACAAACAAAACAAAAAAATGCCCCAAAACCTCTTGGGGTTCAGAGGGTTAATTGACAAGTAAATTGTTTTCAAATTAGTGAGGGGAAAAAAACAAAAAAAAGTTTTATCAGATGACCACAAGGTGGTGCAGTTGGCTAAATGAAGGTCATGGAGTCTTCATACAGAGGTGTGTGTGTGTGTGTGTGTGTGTGTGTGTGTGTGAGAATAAGTGCAAGTGGCCACTTACTGGTTCTATCCTGGCTCTTCTTACTGTTGACATTCTGGCCCAGAGCACTGATCCATCGAGCACGCTCATTCCTAAAAGCAGATGTAACAGCCCATGAGCAACTTATTAAAAATCTTTGGCACCAGATCAGTTGTGAATATAAAGGAGTGTTGTAATAACTTAACACCTCCCAAAACTCAACACTGTTGTGGGAGTTTCTGACCTCTTAAACTTAAGCTTAATTCCTTTAAAACTTTACTGAAGGTGTGGCAAACACCATGTCACGCCTGTTTTTTGACAGCATATGTAGCTGCAAGTGACAATCAGAATCAAGTTCAGCCAATTAACATTAAATATGAGCAGGGTTTCATACACGCCACCTTGGAGACGATCGCGGTAAACAGATCATTTTGTTGCCTGGCAAGTTTTGAATTCCCTCCCTCCTTTCTATCCCGTGACAGTGAGAGAACAGAGGTGTGTTTTCAGTCGGTGAGAACTGAGGAGAACCTGCACAAAGGCTTATTCTCAGGAGAGGACAGACCTGCTTTTGCTTTCTCTCTCTCTCTCTCTCTCTCTATCTCGTGTGATTCATGAGGAAGGAAAAAAAAAAAGTGGGTGGAGTAGCACAGGTCAGATTCCCTGAAACTCTCTAATTTCACCTGTTCTGGAGGATTTAGAAAGAGCCGGAGTGGGAGAGATAAAAGGGGGGAGTTCAGGAAATGAACCAGAGGGGGGTTTATTGAGGCCTCCTGTGACTCAACGCTGCTGGACTGCATCATGCACATGAAGCCAACATGCACAATCGCAGAATGAGGGCAGTCGTCTTCGCAAGGGCCTCAAAAGTACCTCAATAGGGACAGCCAATGAGTCAGAGCTCATTAAAGTGTTGTACAAATGGCGTTCTGATCTTTATCAGGACACAAAGCTGTAAATTACTGACCCATGACACTAGTAATATAAAAACATACTGTTACTCAGCAACTGACTTAATGATTTGAAATCACATCACACCTTCGTAAGCATTACTCTGAATAAAATCACGAGGTTAGGAGGACACCGTGTGCCTTCATTTCAGTGTCATGCCTCATAAATGAGACCTTTGGTTTCAAGTCACACCACTGTTATTTTAGGTCACAGTCCAGGTGGGAAATAATCATTCACTAGTCGTGTCAAGAAGTTTTTCAAATTTGCTTGCAATGTGTAAATTCACTGTATGACAAAACAATGCACGTGGTTACTCCGCTGGACTAAATGTGCATGTTCTTCATCCGAGCCGCTCTGCAGGAAAAGGCAGCTGTGAGTTGTTGCTCTTGACAGCTGGACATACATGCCAACAGTCAGATACATGCCGAGCGCACAGTTGTGGCAGGTTTGCCTTCTTGCGCTGAAAAACAGCTGAAGCACTTTACCATAAATGTACTGTGTGCACATTCATCGATTCGGGATATCGAGCGTGGAGACACCAGGAGAACCGCATGTGTGTGAGAAACACTTAATGTTATCTGTGGATCGTGAGGCATGTGCCAAAAAATGTAGGGGGAAAAAAAACACCCACCCATCAGACAGTAAGTGTGTGTTTACATGCAGGCATGCGAATACTGCATATGCACCAACGGCAGGTGCTTGCCCTCTTCCCCCTTTACATGACTACAAGCCTGTGCAGGATCAGCCTATTCATGGTAGTAAAGTCTCCCTCTGCCTTTTAACTGTTCGTCACAAAGAAAAAAAGAGAACACCAAGAATCATAAATCCATTGTCGGAGGTTCTTGTTTCACCTCTGAAAAGCGGAGAGACCCCGCTGCTGAACTGTAAAACCTCTTTCACACAGGCAGATAAAGAGCGATGACAGCCTCTTTCCAACCTTCCTTCCTCCAAGGACTTCAAATCGCCCACTGGTTTTCATCTCATTTTCCGTTTAATCTCTACCTTAACTCTTTCTGCTCCCTCCTATCAACTTGTTGACTCCCAACCGAACCCCTCCCCTCCACAAAACGATACTTGGGTACAATTCCTACTTTGCTCGGAACAAAACATGCAAATGGAAATTCCCAGGCAGAGGGGAATCATTCCCATCAGCTACTTTCACAATATCACGTAAATGAAAGCAGACAGCACAAGAGAAAATCCAAAAACAACGCTTAAGCGTAGCAGCAGAAGTACAGACTCCCTCCTCTGGTTGGGGCTGTTACATAACCAGAGCTGCTTTGTGTTATAAAGCTGCATATCTGACTAGCAGAACTGTTTTGCTGCAGACTTCTGTAGCTGCTCTGTTCCACTAATAGAGAAACGCTATTCACTGACTCTGGACTGGATGCAGCATCAAGGTCATGGGGAAGGCACGATGACATGAACACACCGAACAAAAGGATACACAGAGCAGGAGAGGAAGAGGACGCAGACAGAGAAGAGCAGAATCACAAACAATGTTAAAGACAAGTCTGAGATCGAGCCACACAGAAGTCCTTGTGCCGGCTCCGATCCAGCTGTCTGGATGGATTCCTGACGCATTAGACAATTTCTAAGGTCAAAGATCGCTCTACTGTATGTACGCTTCTTAAATCTTCCACCATGATACACAGACATGAGTAAGGCATCAGCTTAAAAGGTCAGCAGGTAGGAAACAAGTGGAACTGAAAGCAGAAACACTCACAACGCTACCACCACCAGAACGGTTTCAATTCCACAGAAAAAAAAACAAAAACAAAACAAAAAAAACAAAACTCCGACCCGCCTTTGGTCAGAATGTGCGGAATTTCTCATTGGAACTCGACGTGAGCTGCACTTAAATTCAGTGGTGAAGTGAACAATACAGTCAAGTATATGCACAAGAGCCACTTGTTTCCTCGGTGGAGGACGCTTATCTCTCCCAGCAAAAAATGACGCCGGACCTGCTCGAAAACTCATTAACGCAAATCATGCACAGGCCTGCGTTTCTGTGGTCGTTGCCTTCAGACTGTGACAGCAAAAACAAATCAGCTGAACTCCCCGTCCTCACCAATTAACCGCTTTGTGGAGATGAAAATAAACAGTGTGCGCAGCTGTAGAGTGCAAAGTAGGTTTGTCAATTCAAAAAATTTCCCGTTTATTAAATACTCTTTTATTAGGATTATAACATGTTTTGCTGTATACACATATAATGTCAAAAAAAGCTCATTGAAAGCGAATGAAGCTGTAATACATATTCCCATTTGTTAAACCTCGCTATCGTAATGAATTTTGGTAAACTGATCAGTTGAGACGTTCCTGTTACATACATGCAACATCCAACAGCAGCAGGATCTGTGTGAGCATCTCCAAAACGACACAGCTTTGTGCATGTACTTTTAATTCCTTAAACTGATAAATTCTCCCTGACATAGAGGCAGGATCGATCCAGATCTAACAGCAAGTCACGCTGTTTACTTTTCTTTGCCCCAGAGAGGTGAAAAGTTACATTTTAGCAGATTCAGACCTGTTCTATTTCTTATTAGTACATTACTTTTTTGTATTATATATCACTTGATGTGCTGTCCAATCGCACTGTGGTTTATATGACTAAAGGAGTGACTTAATGAGAAAACACCATCACTTTTACAGGTTGATGAAGTCAGTAATGTTACATATCACACGTCTGAAAAGGGCTTTAGTGAAGCAAAACAGAAAATCAATAATCTGACCTTTACTGAGGACAAAAGTCGTATTTGCTCATTTCAGCACCTCCAAAGTGAGTTTATACAGTTTCTATGATTATATTTTATATACTGACTGTGGTGCTAAAGTGTGCAGGTGTTTTATGAGACAACAATGACAAACATAGAAGAGAATATGAATATGTTTGGGTTTTGGACTGTTGTGACAATAACTATTTCAATTCAGTGTCTGTATAAATAGACTTTTTCAGAATATTCTGGAATTTTATCAACTAAATGATCGAATTATTGAAAAAAAAAAAAAATCTAAAGCAATATTGAAGCTTTTTGCAGCCCTACCAAAGCAATCAAGTCACCTGGGTGATCTGACAAATGTTATATTTTCTAGACGTAATAATTGGGAGAAAAAAGAGAAAGAAAGAAAGAGAAAAGAGGCAGCTCAGACTGTATTGAAAATGATTATTAGTCGCAGTCATGATGCCGCCCACCATCACAGCAGTTCCCGAGGAAGGCACAATACTTATTTGTCTGTTCTAGTTCATTGAACTCCTAAATAGGCTGCTAATGCGGCAACACTTCCATGTGCCACGTCGTGTTAGATCGCTAAATTGGGATGAATGGATGGAGGAAAAGGAAGTTATTCTCTGGTCATCAAGAACAAAGTGCAGACGCCGACTACTGTCTAAAAGATGAGACACGGGACGGGAGGAAGAAGGATCGGGGGAGTGAAGCATCGGCCGCGGGGAAGGGTAGTCGTGGGAAACAGCCTACTTAGCAAGGGGCTGTTGCTAGGTAACAACTTAAACAATGCCTAGTAACCACTGCAACAATGGACAGTTGCCAGGGTCCCCCCCTTCTCCTTAGTTCATTCAGTACTACAGTGAGTAGAGCTGAGCCCTCCACACACACACGCTTAATCACATCATTACATCTCAGCCAAGGGCCCCAAAAGAAGACTATCAAAGGAGGGAATCTGGGGGTTTTCCACAACAACTCACACCACACAGAGGAGGCAGCTGAACAGGGAGTCTACACTGTGTATCTGTGGGTAGAGTCTGAAGGCTCAGCAGGCAGCACATTCAAGTGATGTCACTAAAACTGCCTCCTACGCAGGCCGACATCAGTCACAGTCAACACGTCCTACTGCAGTCGCTTTGTCAGGCGTGTCGCTTAGTAAAGGCTGATATCATCGGTCCACGCTGCTACACAATAAGGAATCTAGTTTAAATTTTGCAATGTGGTAAAAAAAAAAAGGATAAATAAATAAATAAATATGGATTAAAAGAAGAGAAATTATTCATTAGGAATGATTACAGAAAACAACTTGTGATATGTTTCTGAAACAGACAATTGTTTTCAATAACGTCTGATGGAAACCAGATTTTCGAGGCAGATGCTGAATTTTAGAGAGTAAAAAAGTCCAACATTAGATATACATTAGGTAATATTTTTTTACATATATACTAACTTAGAATTATGTTGGATTAACATTAAAAAAAAAAGGGGGAAATGATGTAGTAATTTTTTATTTAAAAAAAAAAAAAAAATTGTTATTTTGGAAAAGCAAATGATACCAAACTTCTCTTCTAGGTACAATTCCATTTGTGGTTGCGAGAATATGCATTGCTAATCCAGGTTTTCAATAGAATAACAAAACAAATATAACAAGTGAGTGGGAGGATGTTGACCAAATCCTGAAAAAAGATTCCCTTTGATCCTTGAAAGAAAATGACAACTTCTCCAAAATGTAAATATCTTCTACAATTTTGGTCCCTTCTTCAATTATGTGGTCATTTGGAAGGGGGGGGGGGGAATGTCCATCAGCTTACCATGACAACAGCATTTGTGATATGTACTCTGCTACATGTGCTGCAGACACTGCTAAGGGTTTTCACAAAATGGGAGTCAGATCTGCTCTGCTGGACCAACTGCATGATGACTGCATTTCTAATTTACTCCAAGCATGTTTGTCTGCATTTTGTTACGTGCAAGCAAACAAATTGTTGCAAATTGAAACACATATATGCGAACAACATATACTAAGTATCTTTGATAGGCCAATAGTAAAACTTCAAGCATAATTTCCCAAGACTGCAAGGCTACATCTACCAATGTCCTGTCTTCCCTGACTGTTAGTTTTATTTTTACAACCTTTGACGACAATCAAAACATTAGGTAATCGTACAGATCTGAGATAAGAGGAATCTTGTTATATAACTCAAATCCTTAGTCTGTACAGATCAAATTAAAAAAACAAATCACCGCAGCTTTACTCTCATCCCTGACACACCTGTACATGTGCTAAACTGTTGTCACGAGGCAGATTTTATACCTCAAAAGTAACTATTACTCTCTGAACCACTGCTTTGCTCTGCTGGTACTGAGTCCCTTCTTATACCTGATTAAAAACAAACAGTATTTAAAGCGTGTTACATTTTTAAGAAGTAAAGTTTTAACTCTCATGGATTAAATCTCAACACCTGCGGTCACAAAAACAATCAAACATGCACTTATGACACATTCAGAAAAAAGGCTACAAGAAGGTTTTTCATAAGCTGAGAAACATTTTCGGTCAGTGTTTTGTACCCGTCGTCCATTTACAGTGAATTTTCTGCCTACAATGGAAAACCACAGCTTCTGTAATGAGAATACTGAGGGAGGTTCTCCAACTACACAGGAATGAAGAGGAACAGGCCCTGTGCATGTGAGAACACTCCTTAACAAAGCCTTGAACCATAGCAAACAACCACAGTTAGAGCTAATTGTGTGTGTGTGTGTGTGTGTGTGTGCATCCGTGAATGTGTGTGTGCGCACCGGCTGCAACTTCTGACACTAACTAGAACAAATAAACCCTGTATGGAGCCCAATATATGGCAGATCCCTTTTGTTTGTGCGGGTTATATAATCTGAACACGCTCGCTTTTCACTCTATTTGCTTTACAAAGAGAGACAGAGGGTGGGATGAGGGTTAGTTCAACTTTACCAACACAGCACCGGGCAGCAGTTTTATGTTCTTCCAGATATGCAACAGGTTTCAGCTGCAACTAGCAGACTTTAAACAAAGGGAGTTCCTTTCCTTAGCGTAGATCCCTGAGCTGGAAGACACTCAGTCAACAAAACAATTATATCGTGCAGCTGGTCTGTTTTACAGTACGACTGCAGACATGACGGAACTTCATTTCCTCGGTCGCATAAACAACAACAGTCTGTCTTGAGAGTGGATGTAACGAAATATCCCTGTGACCTGTAATGGTGCAAACAGAGACGAATAAGAGCTCGGATTTTCTTTAAAAGGCATATTGGAGCACACAAAGGGAAGATAAGGGAGCAGAAATGCGACCTAACCTTTTTTTTTTCCTCAGAGTCGAGCAGTCAGTCGTTAAAACAAAGGAACTGAGACTTGTTTTGCAGTCTTGAAACCCACATATAAAACCAAAACCGTATGAAATGTCTGGGCTACCCGATATGTAGGTCAAAACATGCTGGTGTAGTGTCACGAGGCAGACGTGATTCACAGTTGCCGAGCGCAGAGCCTCGTAAATGCAAGTGAAAGACGGGACAATTAAAAGGGACGAAGGTCGCAAAATAAAGCACTCACAGCAACTCCGTTCCAAGGATCATGGACACCTTTTCCCCAGAGTGGTTGCTATAGAAACACAGTCGGAAGAGGTGGTTGGCACCAGATTGCCGTGAGCTCAGCATGCCGGCGGTGCTTCTGACCGGCGACAGGTTGACGTCCTCCGGTTGGCAGGAACTCACCGAGATGTGATTCCTCAGAGCGTAGTCGATCACGGTGTAGCTCTCCTCACTGACACAAAGACAAAGACAAGACAGTTTTTCAATAATGCAGCCTTTAATGTATTCAAGATAACTGCTCATAGATCGAGTCGGTTGTATTTAAAAGTGAAGTTTTGGTGACAGAGGCCGTAATATACGTGTGTCACTGAAAGGCTGCCACTTTAGATCCTTACTTTGGCTTCAGTTACAGTCAAATCAGTTTCACTCTCCCGTCGTTCAACAATCAAGAGAGACAGCGCTACATGGAAATGCAGAGTGTACACGGCCAGCCGCACGTACAAACAGAGCCGTAAAGGTCAATAAAATCTGCATTTACACACAGACTGAATGTTTGTGCTTCGAAACTAAAGGGAAACTGAATTTGACTGTTAAATTCATCGGAAACAGGAACAGTATCCAGCTGCTCATCAAGGTCAAACACACAAACAGAAATGACAAAATTTACATAAAAGTGATTTGATTTGAATATTTGTCTGTGAATGGATTACATTTTACATTGCATGTAAACTATATTGATATCTGATAGGGTTTGTGTTTAAACACGATTCGGATGCTTCCCTTTTTAATTTTTAGTAACAACCAATTTTTAGAAAAACGACAACAATTTCTCATTTTGAAGTTTTGGAATCCTTACGTATGCCTTTCTGTTTTGTTTCTGAGGTGATCTGTTGACAGCTCCAACCTAAAATGACAGTAATGTGCCTTTAACCCCAAATGTTAGGGTAAATATTCTTGTTTCTGCCCCAACACGGGCCGTCCACACCTGTCTCTGAGCGTTTCAAGTTTAATATTAAAACAATAATATTCAAATACAGATTAAAGATAATGAAGCAAATATCTGTCTTGACAGCATTACATAGTATTTTCTTATTGATTAATAAATTAATATAAAAAACTAAATGCCACATAGGCTTGAAGTTTGTAAATTTAATAAAAGAATCTTGCAGGAATAATTCCAATTTGGATAAGCAGCTCCTCAGCTATTAAACTTACAAGAAGCAAAAAACTGTGTATTTAATCTAATTCACTAAAATGAATTAATCAAATATCTCATTATAATGTGATTAAGCCGCAATCAGGAGTCCAAATAAGCAGCTCTCTCCATATTCTACATCTTGGTTTCTGCACATTGCACACGAGGGCTTTAGCCTGAGCATGACACGACCCTGCGTCTAGCAGAAACATCTGGAGCCGACTGTGATACACGGTACCTCTAACGTGGCACTGAACCTGGAGAAAAAGCATGTTTACATAGTCCTCTGAAGAACAGGAGCCCACATGTGTTTTATCAACCTGAGACGAAAACACCAGTCAAGCTGAGAAGCTGGTGGACAGACGGTAGTTTCTTGTAAGCATTAGAGTACATGTCCAATCTGCACACATAAACACGAGCAGGGACAAAGGCAGGAGGACTGAACCAGCGTATCTGTCCATGTGCTGCTCTTTTTCTCTTCCACTCACACACACAAACTCTAAACCGCAGGGTCATGACTGGTTGGAGAATCCGGTCATGGTTGGAAGGTTCTCAACAAGGTTCAACTGTTACCCATCAGCCCCTATTGTCCACCAGTCAATCAAGTTAGAGGCTGCTGCCCACAACCAATTAGACTTCTTGGAACAGGAGGCCGAAAGCACTGGGAGAGACAGATAAAGCAGGGGGAAGAGGAAATTCACAACAGTTTGGAAGTGACTGAAAATGCCAGAGAGCTAAACCTGAATCTAACTGCAACTACAAGCTGCTGTCAGCATCTCAAAGGGATGTTTGAGGGAATAGTTGAGCATTTTGGGAAACGTGTTTAGTTGCTTTCTCGGAAAGAGTTAGAAAGCTACAGAATGGAGCCACGATGAAGTTAGTTTAGCTTAGCAAAATCACTGGAAACAGGGAAATTGGCTTGACGTTTATGTCCTTCATAAATCCAGTTGCTGGTTCCAACCTACCAAGGAACATATTACTGCTGTGGAAATGCAAATCACAATACACAGGAGGAACTAGTCAGACAATTTACATTTTTCTGTAGCATCCATTACTTTAAATAGAATGGGACGAAGCACAGAATCTGAAAGAAAAGCGTAAACTGTCTAAATATTCAAAGTTTTAGCAGAGAAATTATAAGGAAAATATGTAAATATTAGAATTTCTTTGTACTCAGGACCAACTATGTTTCCCCAAGTAACTTTAATAGGCATAAGCACATCTGGAGAGTGAGTTTCATACATTTTCTGCCAAAGTAAAATACCTGGCAGCAGATTTAATACTTTTTAATGCAGATATTCAAACACTTGTATAGGCACTGAAAGACCAGCAAGTCTGAATACAGCAACCAGAAACATTTTCATCACTATGAGACGGCCTTCCAAAATCACATCTGCTTTAATCCTTATAGATGTGATCTTAAAACAGATTTTTAACTTGTAGAACACATTTTTGAGAACATATATAAAAGTTACTTTTATTGGATTTTATACATAGTTTGAAGGGTTTTGTTAAAATTGGTTAAATCCTTTAAAAAACCCCATAAACTTATAATTAATTAATTTGTCTAAACATTATATTATCTTCTGAATTCTGGGTAATAACTTCATTTTAACCTAAATGGAAAAACCTACATCCACCTAAGGAGTTATTAAGTATGATTTTGCAAACTTTAAAACTGCAAACTCTTAAAATAATAATCTAATAAAGCAATGCAACTTAATTTACCTTCTAAATAATCTGAGATGTTAATTACCTCATACTAGTTTGAATAGAAGTCCCTTCAAAATAGTCATAATAAAGCATCAAATAATTCTAATAGCTGTTCAGAGATAAAGTGAAAATCCCTATTTTAATACATTAACCTAATAAGGTAGATGTTAAAGTCATCAGCATTTTAGCTCTTGTCTGCCTTCCAGGTAAAATTCCTGGAATACCATTTATATGACACCAGTTAATGGGGTGGGTGGGGTGACTACATGTCTGTGGGGTGAGTTTTCCCTGTGTGGTGAGTACACCATGTCAAACTATTGATTAATAGCAGAGGAATGAAGGTGGGGAACAGTTATAATATCTCATGTTGAAATGTAGGAAAGAGGGGTTACAAACTGACTAATCTGAGGAACAGACGCGGCTTTTTTTTTTTTTTTGAACAGACGCAAACACACCTCTGTGACGGTATGAAAATCCCTCAGCGGTTCAAGATAGCACAGGCATCTACTGGGTGTTATCACAGCTTGCCTATGTACAACCAGTTCTTTGACAAACAAGCAGAACCAACACAAATCCTCAGAGAGATGTCGCGATAAGAGTCCAAGTCGAGCATGCAAATGGACACGAGGCAAGCACATAACGCTGGTGTTGAGACTATGGCACAGTCAAACAAACACCAGAACAGAAAGGGATGGGTTCATAGAGTTAGATGCCGACAAAGACAGACGAAACCCTACAAGGTCATGAGTACTGAAATGAAAGCGAGAGAAAAGAAAAGAAAACAGAGAGATGGAAACACCAACGATAGTCAATGTTTAGATGATGCCCGGCGCTCACACAGGAAAAAGGGAGAAGCGAAGATGAGAGAGAAGCCAGCTGGTGTGTTATGTAAGTGTTCCTGTGAGCCAGAGTGCAGCAGATCAACACTTTCCTGGTGCGTGACAATAGGCCAGTCTGACATGGGGTGGGTTTCCAATAGCCAACCCCAGTTTGGATCCCGCCCCAAGTCAATAAAACGAGCAGATTTGTCAAACTGAGAGTGTGACAATCCCTTTTTAAACGATTGATGTTTTCGTCTTTCTGCAATTAGCAAAGAGCAACGTACAAAACAATGTCAAATGCATTAGCAGCAAAACCCGAGGATTAGACCTTTAAATGTCAAACTAAATAAGATTTTAGTGCTTAAGTTGTCATAATGGGGCTGCAGCTAACAGTTATTTATAAGCTGATGATTAAACTCATGATTAACCCTCTGAACGCCAAAACCTGTTGATGGTTTTTAAAAAGGAATGCTGTCTTCGCAAAGTTGTCAAAACTGCACCACGAATCAGAGCCCGAAACTGTAGAAACAACTGTGGAATTATGAACTTTATTGACCAATTTTGTCCGTAAAAAATAAGCAAATCTAAGCTTAAAACCCATATATCAGTCAGAATCACTTTTTTAAAAAATCTTCTTTAAAAATTCACACAAAAAATTATATATTTTGCATTTAATCAGATTCTGTAAGTCTAAAAACATTAAAAATTCTGCGCTCCTCGATGCGACCGAGAAGCAATTAGTGACTCAGCTGTGACCAACAGTCGCAAGACAAAAATGGATGGATTTGTCAGCTTAACTGTGTTTACACAGAGCAAACGGGAGAGAGGTATGGAAGCAAATTTAGATTTTAAGTAGTAAAATATCTACAGAATGTAGAATTAAACTGTTTCTTTTGTTTTGCTCATTTTTTAGGGCACTTGAACTGTTTCATACTGCAAAAAAAACAACGCATTTTTGATTTTTCTGTATTTTCTAGCCATGTTTGTACTGTTTCCACAGAGACAGAGGTTCAGGACTTTATATTGCAGTGACAAACAAGCTAACAGAGTAAAAATGGGACAGGAACAAAAGAAAGAAAAAGGAAAGGAAAGAAAAGAAAAGACACTAAGAAACTGCTTCTCATGGAGCTTTGCCAGTCTAATGTGAAGTCTTCAAATGTCATTTAGTCCAAGCAACAGTGCAAAACCCAAAGATATTCAGTTTCTAGTAATATAAACCACTGAATGAAAATGATAAGAAATGTAAATTAGGTAAGCAATGCTAAATTAATTTTCAGGTAAATGCTATTAAACCCCACGCACAGAGAGATTAGTAACATTTTACGATTTACAAACATGCAGTTGAACCGTCTTTCTCCTGAATATTAAGAAATATAGGCTTATGCTCTGAAGACACTCTAAGGTCAAAGGTATGTTTTTTTCCTCTACTGTGTAAGTGCTGTGGCTTCGACCTTTTCACCCCTTCCTTCTGGTTTTGATGGCGGTAGCATTCCGAGAAATGCAAGCTTGTGAAAACGAGACAAGAATAAGCTGAGGGGATTCAAGCACACAACTTTACTGCATTTGGCAACAAAGTGCATTTAGCTGCTTGTAAGTGAGCCCCCTCAGACACACTCTCCAAATCATAATGACAAGGGAAAGCGCTATTACACCATTATGTCTAGGAGCATTTGTGACCTGGCGGTGCCCGCCTAGCGTCGTGTACCCCAGGAGTGTTTTTGTTGTGATTACTGCAGCTGGAGTGCAGTAGAGTAGCGTGCCACAGCAGGGCTCCAGTGCTCCCCACAGTACAAACCAATATTATAACAGCTTCTCCCATTCAAACTTACACACTCGCACAAATACACACTCTGAATCCGGAGCACTCCCTTTTTCCCCCCAGATCTCTCCTCCAAACACAGGCCTGACACCACACACTGCTGGAGTCTGCCGTCCCAGATCAGATTCCCAGAAAAATATCATATGGAATGTTTCTTTTCTTTTCTCTTTTTTTTTTTTATGATTCTCAGGAATTCTCAGCCTGCGAGTGGCGGGACAATCAGTTCCAGACACAGAGGGAGATGAACGGGAAAGACTTTTTTTTTTGTTTTTTTGGCAAAAATAGGCACGCATGCACGCGCTCCCACGCTGCACACACGCAAATGAAAACCACATCATTTCAAGGAAGTCGTCTTTATAGCTTGTTTCACGGTGTTGCCCAAAAACTAGAGGAAATAAGAGGAGAATGGAGAAAGCAGACGGAGCTGACAATGAGCAGGTCTATTCGTTTGAGGTGATTCATGGCAGCGGGACTTGTTGAAACCGCTACAACTTTTAGAAAAACAGGCTCAGATAGATAATGCCAAGTCGCAGCAGGTTCAGGTAACTACACCTGTTCAGCTGAATGAACACGCCTATGAAGAACTGATGCAAGGTGGAAAATCCGACCAACTGTACAGATACTGATCTCTTTAGACTTCCAAAAAAACCCACAAATATGCAGATGACGATGTCTTCTTACTGTAAATGAAGCAGTTGTTTTTGTCGTTATGCTTCGCTTTCTTTTCAGCGTGGACGGCAATAACAGCTCTTTTGGACAGGTTCATTTCCCAGAACAAGTTTAAACATGAGGATGAAGAAGACTGAATTACACGCCCTGTGGGTCTTGGCTATAGGCGGTTCATAAACTCACGCATAAAAAACCAAAGGGCTTACCGTTACACTCTCACCCCTGACATGTCAGAACAGATGAGTTATGAGAAAAACCTGCACACTGAGGCCACACTCACACCAGCTGAGTCACACACAGAGCATCCACGCGAAGCCCAACCGATGATCTGAAGTGAACTCACCTTTTCTTCCTGGTGACGATGAGGACGTCATTGAAGAGGAAGAAGTAAACCTGCTGCCGGGACGTCCGCTTGAGGAAGATGCCATTATCCTCCACAAACGCAGTCAGCTCCCCTCTCTTTACCATCCACCTGGAGGACGAGACCAAGGGGAAAGGCTGCAGGAGAAGACGAAAGAAAAATATGATCAATAAGGGAATGCAATCCAACAAACAAATGCAAAAATATCTGTCATGTCGGGGTTGTCAGGAAATGCTAAATCACAGTTTGTGTGAGTGCACGTGTGAACAGCTGGTTATGCAGAATGAGAATATGTTCACCAGACATCTGTGGATCTCCAACGTGCCAGCAGCTCTTTCCCACACTACTTAGACACACTTAAGCCTGCCAAGCCTTGTGTGTATTATGTGTGTAGATAGTCGCCAATTGAGTGACAGTGGAGTGTTCTCGTTGTGTGTCTGCACATGTCAGCACATGACTCATTGATTATGGATTTTACATAACTGTAAATGCACATTTTCAAGAAACAGTATGACATCAAGGGAAATCCACTTTCAGATGAGAGTCAGATGAGAAGATGAGTACCACTTGGGAATTACATAAAGTTATGGTCAGTAACCAGTTAGCCTAGCTTAGCATAAAACCGCGGTAAACAGCTGGAATAGTTCTGCACAAAAATGTCCTGAATCCACCTGATGCTTGGTAGAGTGACTTCAAAAAACACCCCCACCTCGTATAAACGTGCAAATGTGCAGTTTTTTTTGGTAGACTGCTTAAATGAAATAAACTATGTTCATGACCTTTAGAAATGTTTTCTCCCTTTTCCATTTTCTAGTTTATACTGATTAACCTAAGCTGTAGCTTTATGTTTAAAGGACAAATGTGAGAGTTGTTTCCTTAAAACTGATGACCTATTCCATTACAGCTTGCTAAATTTATTAAAAAAGAATTACTTTATGAACAGACTGAAACAGTATTTGTGGCAAGTGTGGATTAGTTGGATGTGTGCCAGTGCGTCCTCCATACCTTGATCTTGAACTCCAGCTGAGAGTTGATGGTGTACATCATTTCTGTTCTCTCCATCGTGCGAGCTCCTTCATTGCATTTTCTTACCACCTGCTCAAACACACATACATGAAGTGTCAATCATTAACATTGTATACAGTAATTCTGCTATACACCTTGTGTTAAATAAACATCTGAACTCCAGTTTCTTAGCATGTTTTTTATTTACTCCTGTCAAATTTCTTACTCACTGTAGACTCATTTATCACTGCAATATAAAGTCCTGCACCTCAATGGAAACAGCACAACCACGGCGAGATGTAGAAAGTACAAAGTTATTTCTTTTGTGTGAAAACACAAAGTTATAATACTATAAATCACGAAGAGGAAAAAAAAGGAAGTTGAATTTCTTGCTAATTTTTGCTCAAGTGCCCAAAGGTGTTACCAATACTAGAGAAGAAATGATGACTTTGCATATTATAGATATTTTAGCTCTTACATTTTTAATGTTTTCGACTACTTGTCTCACATTTGCTCTGTGTAAACACAGCCTGCAGTTCAGCCAAGTTGAGCTAAAAATGACTGATGGTCACAGCTGACTCACTAACGCCTTTATTGTTGTGCCAAGAGGTGCAGATTTTCTTTGTCTTTTACAGAATATAGTTATTGTGAGCGATGAAAATCCAGTGATTGTTTTTACAGTCTCTAGCTCTCATAAATGGTGTATTTTGGTGATTATTTTAAAGACAACATAGGTTTTAAAACCGCCGGTGGGTTTTGGTGTTCAGAGAGTTAATTGTTAAATTTCAGGACACTATGACACTTAGAGCATTCCTTGATTGAGCTGCTTAAACTGATGGACTACTTTATAATCTAAAGCTATTTAACTTCTATTTAAAAAAAAAAAAAAAAGACAACTGACCTTGCTGACTGCTTGTAAAGCTTTCTTACACTCTTCATATTGTGTCGAGTCTTTAGGTGTCTTCTGACAGATTGTCTGCAACAAAAAGATTCAGGACACAAATCAGTTGCACTAATTTATAACCATAAAAGAAAAACATAAAATCCATTCAACACACTAGAATCCATGACAGCACATTGCTTCCAAATACACCACACTGTATCAGCATAAAGTACTGAAGCTGTGGGAAGAAATGAATTGAAAGCAAACTTTCTCAGGATCCTGAAGCCACTGAGTGTGCAAGCATAAACCCCAGAGTCCCTCAGGAGTCAGTGACGGAAGGCAGGACGGAGGAGGATACGAGTAGAGCAAGAGAAAGGAAGAGAAAGGGAGGCACAGCAGACACAGAATAATGTGCGGCCAAAGTAAACACATGAAAGTGAAGAAGAAAAAGAAAAGCACATCAAAGGAGAAAATAAGAGTTGAACCAGTTAGGATTATGAAGGGATGGCGTAAGGTCACACACATATCTTTGAGGTTAGAACACACCCTATGTCATCAGGGCAGCACGAACAAACAAACTGTTGCGTAAGAGCCAAACGCTTGTAATTCCAAAGCTTGTGCTACTGTATGGCGTCGATGGACTCACATCCATGAGCAGGGGCAGACGGGTGACCCTCTGCATGGGCAGGATGAGGAAAGAGATCATGGGGAGGTTCCTGCAGTCTGGGTGGCCCTCTATCCTGGTCAAAACCTCCTTAAAAGTTGGATTCTTGGTGCTGCATGGGAGGAAGGCGGAAAAAATGAGCTGGAGAAAGAGCCAACTGGCCGCCTTGGACCGAATCCATGATCACGAGTGATATGATAAGAACATTTCTGTGTCTGCTCGGTCACTCACACCAGCCTCTGCAGGGTTCTCTGTTGGTAGACCTCATTGGAGCAGTACGTGACATAAGGATCGAAGTTGGACTGAGCGTGCTTGAAAACAATGTCACTGATGTCATCGATCACTATGTTCTGTTGGTGTCTTTCCTCCAGTTCCTTAAAGAACCTAAAACACAGAGGTGGGAGAATAAAGGTTAGTATGTCAGGAATTCATACCCTACATGGCAACAGCGTGAGTAAGAAACATCAAATCGTGAGTCATTCCCCACGGAGGGAAATGAGAACATAGGATGCAATGACAGATATAAAGTCAGGAAGGCAAAAAGAACAGCCAACACCGTACTTTCAAACCCGCTACAAGATGACAAAAGAGGAACTCCCTGCCACTTAAAATAGACGTAGTCTACCATTAACCATAACACAGAGGCTTTTCCTCTTCCTGTGCACCACCAGATGGCCGGTTTAACGGCACGCCACATGTCCAGCTTCAAGAGGACAAGTGTTGTTGCGTGCATGAATTGAGGTGACAAACAGGAAACTGTTGCACAGGCACAGGATGCTGACCTTGACCAGTTGGACCAGGTTTGAGCTCATCTGCAGAAGCACCTCTAGAGCCTCATCCCTACCTACTCGGCATTTCAAACACACATATAAACACTGTGCTTTGACTATCCATGGAAAACAATGGTTCTTGTGACCGTGTGGCCTTGTGTCTATGCCTGATCTCTTTGAACTAATGAGGGCATGAGCACACAAGATAACACATGTGTTGCCCCTGCCCTCTGGCCTAAAGTAAGGTTATATTTGGGGCCGTTTTAACAGGTCAAGGCTGCACAAATTCAAACTGCACTCTTTCCTGAGGCAAAACTTATTGACCCTGATAAACGCATTCTGTCATAAAGGAAAAGAGGTCAAGGTACGAAAGTTCAACCAGAGTGATTTAAAAAAAAAAAGAAGTTATGAAATCCTCAAAAGTAGGTTACTGACCAAGAACAAGATAAAAAAATCAAAGTGTTTTACTAGCAAACACTGAAGAATACAATATTTATCAGACTTCAGGGGTATGTTCTCTTTCACATTTTCCACTGTCTTAAAGTACGTCAGTGGAATAAGAAAATATGACGGGAATGAAGTACGTCATGTCCTGAGGAGGCATGTGAAATATAATCAGTTGCACACCTGCATATAAAATACTCAAAACCCACTTAGTGTCACGCAGCGACTACACATGAGCCTGCAGGTATATTCACTTACTGTTTCAAGACGCTAAACTCAAAGCTTGACTATCTGTTGCAGGTAAAACATGTTGTTTAACCAGTGCTGCAGGCCACGTCGAATCTTAAGATCTGTGAAGAGGGTACAATTTCACATTTTTTTGTGTGTGGCCTGTGTATAGCAATAAGACAAGGGGAGTGAGATGGGCTTCAGCATGTCTAAACACAGGATGGAATTTTAAAGGAATTTACAAAAACCACCGTTCAAAGTGGTAATAAGAAATATGTAAATGTAGAAATACTGTCTACATGAGCCCAATAGCCTGCAAAAAGTAAGGAGTAATGTTTGTAGAAGCTGATTCTCCTTCTTGATAACGGAGATCATTCAAATACAAGGAGTGAGGTCTTTCTCTTTGGGAAGGCGGCTGCAATCCTGACATGGAATCCTTGAGCAAATGTCAGGAACAACTGCACAATAAAGGCAGTGAACGCTCAGCATGTATGCACACACACATCGTCAGTGAGCCATAATAAAGTAAAACTCAATGGAAAAAACTCTTAAAAAGCCTTTTCACGCTTGAATTTTTAGCCCCCGGTGCACTAACACCCTAGGCAACAGGAAGAAGAATAGCTAAACCTCATTTCACGCTTAAATTTATTAACCCAAATTTTGCTGCAAGCACTCGGTTTAGAGTTTGCACTTTAAAGTAAGAGCCCAGGGTTAAAGTATTAAGAGCGCTCATTAATAAATTATGGCAAGCTTTGGACTCAATGTGGCCTCAACCGAGGGCTAAGTGTAGTCAACAGTCACTAAATCAGGTTTGTTGTTTACCACTGGAAGCAAAGAAGGACGCAGAACTGCTCCAATAATAAACAGTGACTTAAGAGTTTGTTAGGATAACCAATACTGATCTGACAGTATCCACTAACGGCATTATAGCTGAACTCGCAAAGATTATCATAATAGACAGTGACCTCATGGGAAAACACCTGAGAAATGATGTCAGTGACTTCACAGATAAACCTGAGAGAGAACATGTGGAAGCCAGAAAGTCTCCTGTCAATCATTGATAGAAATAATGGAGTCTGGTCCAGGACAGCGACTGCTAAGGCAGCACAGTTTTCATCAGTCTCAGTTTTCATGGCCTGTAATAGCCGAGTGTTTCCATCACTTTATATGACCGGTGGAAGCTCGTGGCTACCTGGCTGTGAATGTCATTCATTAAAACCAGTCTACACACATGAACTATAAAATCATGACGGACAGGTAACCACAGAGGGCTCATAGCAGCAGATTTTGGCTATTGCACGTTTCATATACTTAATATAAAAAAACAAAAAACAGGTATCCAGCCGTTCTCCAGCAGTGAGGAATGTTCACTTCAACAATACAAGCATGATTACGTGAAACTTTTCTTTTGTTCTTAGTAGTCTCACTCAGTTTGCCACTTCAATTTTTCCCTGCCTCTGTTTTCTGTCTATCAGCAGGTGACCTCACATCCAGAAAAGGGGTGTGCTGCCTTCACACAACCTTTTGCACAACTCAGACTGAGGTTAGAATAGCTGAAACAATAGCATCAAGATACTGTAAAAGGTCTTTAGACAGTCTGTCTATCAATAATGTTAATTAACAAAATTATACAGCTCATTACTCAGAACCAAAAACCATTGACACCGTTACGGAAAACACCTTCATGACACCTAAAATTACCAAGCAGCACATAGAAACCAACGAATTCCTCGACACCAGAAAGTTCTATAAACAAACAATACACAGAGTATCAAATACGAAGATGCACAACAATGTACAGCAACACAATGCAGTACATCCACACTTACTTTTTGCTGGCTTCACAGACATCGGTGATGTTGGAAAACAGGTGGTGGTGTTCAGTCTTGGTCATGGACTCTCTGAGCTCTGCAGAGTTCTTGAACATGCGGATCAGGATGTCCAGACTGTGGAGGTATGAGTGTTCCGACGAGATCACTTCGAAAATGGCCTAAAGAAAGGCAAGGGAAAAAGAAAACAGGAGGAAACATTAAAGTAAGACATTTGGGAGTCAGTGATCCCATTAAGTCTTGATTCACTCTGATGTTCTGTTGGAACAGCGCCATCGTGGACATGACGACTTCACACTTGTCTTTCTTAATATGTCTTGCATATTCATTTGTCGTGTCTATCTTGTCCATTTTACATTTTCTTTCTCGACATAATAACCAAAGATGCAGGTTTCCTCTTGAGTTCCTTTAACAGTTTTTATTGACGTGGTGGACTTTGCAGAGACCAAATGGACAACTACAGTGCTTGGTAACTTCTACGCTTCAATGTGGCCCAAACTTACCATATGCTCAGACCTAAACAAAAAAAATAAAATAGGATTCCTACCTCTTGTCTTTTGCGTTCCTCCTGACTTATCTGGTCAGACAGTCCACTTTTCTTCACCTGCACAGACAAACACAATTTGTGAACCAAATAATCTGAATAATGATTTTCAAAGTCATGAAAGAGTACAAAGCCGTGCTTGTTTGACTACTCAGTGGCCAGGGGCGCTTTGCATTTATAGCACGGGGGTGTGCTGTTGCTGTCTTTGTATGTGACTGTTGTCCCCGCACACAAACAAAAGGAGCACTTTGCATACCACAGTGAATGGGAAGTCGATGAAGTTGATGTCCAAAACAGGAAAATAAAGATCTATGCTAAATAAAGAGGCACGAGGTGAATGTTTAAAAGGAAAATGTGTTGTAGCTACAACAGTCTAAAGGTAAAACGGGCAGCTCTTGTGCTCACTCACAAAGTGTAATTTGGGCCGAAAGCAGAGGAAACTAAGCGTGCAAAAGTGTGCATGTTGGTATGTGGCTGTTGAGTTTTGGTCCAGAGATATGTGAATACGACTGAAACAACCCATTCTATTGGAATGGACTGGGAGTGGAGTGCTATTGAATTAATCAGCCTGTGGCTTTGTTAGACTGAATGTAAGGCTGGAGTAGAAAGCATGCTTCCTTCTCACGTTTCACCAAATATGACCAATATGACCGGAGGCACTTCCACATTCTGCTGTACCACTTCATAAAAGCAGGCAGAAATCCTGACAGGCCATTTTTCATACTTCCAGCAGCTTCTCATCCTGTTTTGGTATAAAGGGACAAGGAATCGATACTGCTCCTGGAGAAGCAGTATCACCTCTGCAGGCGTATCTGCCCCGCAGTCCTCGGCAAACACTGAGAACAAATAAACCTGCAGCAGATCAAACATCTCTTGTGGCTTCCTTTCACACATACATCATCCGTTTTATTATTTATTGCTCTCACTATCTCGTCCACCAAATCTCCACAGTATCACCTACATCAGCAAAGGCAGGTGTCGCTCTGTATCTGAGAGTTTTTGGTGTACCAGCAACAATGCGCCCTGTCGTGCCAACTGAACTTGACCCTGATTTGCACTTCAACTGGGTGTAACTGGAACACAATCTATTATCATTAACAATAAAAAGCTATTTAAGTTTCATTCTTGAGGCTTGAATATATTTCATTGTTTTGAGAGGAACTAAGCAAACAAAACTTCAATCAACTTAAGGGCCATGGGGGAGTTAGCTCCAGGACAGCCGCATCCTCTGAAACTAGTAATTACTGGAAATGTGAAAATTCAAGGATGTGAGGCTTCTCCAAACCATCGACGACAAGGAGCTCGTAAAAGAAGGGACAAGCTGAGTGACAGGAGACATGCTGATACGGAAAGCCTGACATGATGACGACTTAAACATCTGGTTCTTGGTTAAACAACATTTCCTGTCAAACCAGGACAACAACAGAACCCAGTCAGCATTTTCCAACAAAAAAAAATTGAAAGGTGTGGAGGATTCCTCTATTTTAGATCATGTGCTGTCTGGGAAATCACAGACACACACACACAAACAGATCCACAGCTGTAAAGCAGCTGCAATGGAAAACAAAGTTTCCCCTTGGAGAGTCCTGATCAGCTTGGTAAAGTCGGACTGTGCCCAATTCACCTCTGTGCCTGGCTGACATAAACAAAGACAGAGTTCTGGTTTAAATCTAATTTCATTAGAGTCTATGTGCATAAACACAGCAATTTCAGAACCAATGCTGAGTGCCTCAATCTCAGCAATGGCCCATTTTTGCTCCCACACTTTCCATGCTCAACTAGTAAACAAACAGATGGGAATGCCTTAGTAGAAAACTAAATTAGCCTCCTCTGTATCCCTCTGTCCCTCTGTTCCAATCCCTAACTATATTATGTAATGCGGAGCCACCGCACGTCTCCCTAGAGGCAACATTTTAAGCATATTTGCAGTCTGACGAGTGTGCGGAGTTTGCCAACACGCTGGCATTAAGCCCAGCAGTGCTTCCAAGACTTCCTGTGGGTCTGGCTGACTGTCTGCCTCCCAGCCTGCTGCCCGAGTCCTAGAAGAACTCCTCCTGCACTCCCTGATAAACAGCGAGGGGCAGAGCAAAGCAGAAGCAGTGGGAGGATGGGCATGGAATGCAGCCACACTGGATATGACAGCATTCTTCAGAGCACTTGCATTCCAAGACTCCACAGCCACAGCACTGAGTTTGTCTGTTTACAGGATGTAGACAAATGGTAAGAATGGTAAGGAGATGAGCTAAAGCTACCACAGCTCTCCATATGTTGCTGTGTGTTATGTCTAACCACGCTGAGCTGGCTCCAGGAGGTACGTATGGGTCTGTACTGCACGACGATGCCGTTATCGGGTTTGGGTTCTCGGGAATCGGCATCTTCATCGGAGTCATTATGCAAGGCCTTCTCCTGGTAGTTCTGGTACAGCTCCTCTTCTGAAACACATTTTTTATGACACAAAGATCCATTATTATGAAGTTTTGTTCATAAGAGAAAAACAACATGCTGCAAAATAATCAGATAGTAAAAGGAGCAAAATGAGGGATGGTGGCGTTTTTCACCTTCGCTGTCAAAAGTCCGCTGACTGGTCAGAACTTTTCTCTTATCTGGACTCTGAAAGAGAAACGACAAATCAGTGTGTTGACTCGGGAAAACTCTGCGGGACACACAAAAACTTAAAATAAAATAGTCTTGTGCACTTCTGTCACCTGTTCATGACCGGTCTGTGCCCCTTCTGGTGACCTCCTTCATTGACCCCCGTCTAATTAAAGAGCTGCTGTGTATTTAAGAGTGCACGTGTGGGCACAGTGTCACATTACGTCACGTCTTCCAACAACTACATTAATTGTTTCCTTGTAAGGCCTTGTCCTGACTTCTGCTGCTACTACTGCTGCTGCCTCTGCTGCTGCTAAGTTTGTTCCACAATACCCCGTCTGTGTTATAGTTTTACAGCTCGGACTTTGCTCCACCGATACCGAAAGTCCATGTCCAAGCAATCTTTGCACACAACCGAATATAAACCCACCAGAGCGATTAACTGAGTGGAGAAACCTCAATCTCCTAAAGCAAAGGAAAAAAATAAAATGCAATTCCAAAGTTCACAGGTTATTTATGAGGCTGTTCAGTGATTGCTTACTTCAGCAAGAGGCATTTTCTTGGGACTTGTTTGTGCTAAAAACTGATTTATTTTGGTATTTCTAGAAAGGTTCCTCTATAAATTCAGTTGAATATATTACTACATATCCTATATACATTCTATTATGACTTCTACATTTTTAATTATCTCATTAAAAAAAGCAGTGAAACTAAGCAGCTTTTTATGAAAGCGGACAAAGTGTCTCAACATTTAGTACATGTCTGAAGTTTGCTGCCTTTAAGAGAACCAATGTTTGTTTTTTGAAGGCATCCTTACACGAACCCTTTAAAACCACAAGTCTGTTTTTGCTTTTTTGCAGACAAACAGATTTACCCACCTTGTTTATCCCGTTGCTTTTAGGCTTTTCCGTCCCAGGACTAGCAGGCTTTGAAATCCTGGGGCTGACAGCTTTGGGCATCCCAGGGCTCACAGGCTTGGCAGCTCCTGGGCTGGCAGTGAGGCTTACAGCGCCAGGACTTGTTGCGCTAACTGGTGAATCCAGATTATCCATGCCTTGTCCTTTGATGGCAGGCTGGGACAGGCGATGACCCTTGGGATCCGAAGATGGGACCTCTAAGTCCACTCCACTCACAACTGCCCTCCTATAGGACGTACTCCTCAAGCCTCGCCTCAGTGTCCCTGGGCTCTCACTTTCCCCTTCTGCCCCCTCACCACGGCCCCCTCCTGTAGAAAAGTACGGTCCTGATTCCACCATGCTCAGGGCTTTCATAGCTCGTTTGGAAGGATCCAACCCCAGCAGCCCTGCCAAACCCTGGCCATGTGGTGCAGACAGAGGCGTCTTGCTATGCCGGGTATCGGATGCTAAACCCTTAGGAATGAGCTGATGGGTGCCCATCTTCAGGGCAGCGGGGCTGTTGGTGCTGAGGACGATGGAGGGAATGGGGGAGACAGACGGGGAAAGTGAGGGTGAGGTAGAGGAGAGGGAAGAAGCTGAAGAGGCATGCCTGGTGTCCTGTGAGGATGCAGGTGAGGATGTCTGAGACTGTCTGAGCGCTGCCTGGCCTCTGTCTGCCGGCGATGGGGAACGTGGGGTCGGAGGGTCTGAGGAGGTTAGAGAAGACAGCGAGGGGATGCTGGAAGTGGAGCTGTGGGAAGGGGTGAGGGTGCGACGGGTTGGAGGAGAGGAGCTGGATGTGGATGACAGGGAGGACAGTTCACAGTGGTTGTAGTTGTTGTTGGGAGTGTGTGAGGACAGCACGGGCGAGGAACGTTTAAGAGAAACATCCTCGGGTGAAGATGAATTAGTCCCAAATGACACCTGATCTTTTGGTGAGCTCAGCCTGAACGGACTGGGCGTGCGTTTCTTAGGCTCCTGAAGACGCTTTTCAGGCCACACTGTCTCTCCATTAGTGGGTTTCCCCCGGTTACTGTCTCCATTACACGGTCTATTGTCCAGCGAAGCAGATCTGTTATCCTCAGACCTAAATTTGGACAAAGTGAAGCGTACGTTGGAGAGGTGCCCAATGCTGATGCTTCGGACAACTCTTGTTTTCCTTGAGGGTTTGTGGAGAACATGCTTTAGCAACACAGCGTTCCTTGGAGGTGCAACCACAAGCCTCTCAGCAGGCTGGCTCAAGGTGAAGGAACATTTGTTGTCCTCCACGGGAAAGTCCGTTTGCGAGACCCCATTGATGTGGTAACTGTGGGGTCGATGTTTGGATTTGCTCAAGTCCTGGGGGCTTTTACTGTTGTCTCCACGTCGTCTCCACAAAGGCGTGATGTTATTATTGGACAGATCTACATCGTTTCCAAGATCCATGGTTGTAGTGTGTCTTCTTTGCTATCTGTGGCCCAATCTGCAGAGACCTGATTTTACCCCTTCAAACAAACAAAGCAGAGGAATAGCAATCAGTATCAAAGAGCTCAGTGCGGTGTGGTGTCCAAATTCCCAAAGTTTACTCATTAACAGGGATTCAGTGCAGATACTGGCAGCTGAACTTAAGAAGGGAACAAGTTGGTGAACTGCCAGCAGAAGGGAAGCCAGTGAAGACAACTGAGGGTCCTTTTGTATGTGTTCATTGTGGTGAAATGCCCCAATTAAAATTACTGTAACATTACAAAAGCAGAAAACAATGGTGCGCGTCAACAGAGGGTTTGGAGATTGTTTTGGTCTCCTTAGAATCTAAAGTTGTTTGTGTGTATCTCCACAAAACTCAGAAAATAAAAACAGTCGTGCTTCAAAGTTTCTGATTCAACGGGAGAAGTAAACAGTTTCGCAGCAGGTTAATTTTTGGCTCCAACTTACCTCTAATCTGTCGATCCGCTGAAGAATGCGGCCATTGTACCTGCTCGGATTGGAAAACAAACTTATTTAGCGGCGGAATTGCAAAAAAGAAAAAAAAAATCAGTGTTCATCCAGCATGTTTCCGGAACCAAATGAAGTTTGTGAAAGCAGACCTGGAGTTACTAAAGTTTACGGATCGACTGGAAACTCGTGTGCGCGGCACTGAACGCGTCTGAGGCGCAGCTGAGTGCGCTGAGGAGTTTCTATGACCGAGAGGGAGGGAGGCAGGGAGGAGAGACGAACAGAGGACAGAAGGAAACAACAGTACTCCAAAATTCACAGGAACTCACCTAGAGAGGATAGTGTTAACTCAGGGCAGGGTCACAGTGGATTTCTCGGAAGATGAGATGAGCGTATTTATCTTAAATGAAATTACGCAGTGAAATAGACAAGAAATATTAATTAGTTTCTAGTTCATTGGTATCTGTTGTGAAATGACACAGAGCCATGGCATCAAAAAGTTTTAAATACTACAGATAACGTGAACATTTTAAGTTGTACTCGTCTTCATACAAAAGGGAGTCAAAAAGTTGTTTTGGAGAACTTTTGTTTTTGGTTCTTCTGTGGATTTCGGCTGTTTTTTCCTTCTTTTTTTCATGTAATCCTGAAGTGACCCCATGATATTGAGATCAAGGATCTGTAGAGATCATCTAATCATCTGAAAATCCCTGTTTTTGAGTCTGGACCTATATTGGGACCCCTGCAACAGAATGACTTTGGGGTAAATCAGTAAACATCTAAAGTGTCTAAAACTAAAATTGTAAAATCTTTTAGCTCTCCTGTGAATTGTATAACCAAGGACTCATCCAGGCAGGTCCAGAAATAATAAATAAAAAATAAATCTAACTAAAATTCTTACAGGTTTTGTACACACCTGTAAAACCATTATTTCGAGGCTCTGGGTTGTTAAACTGAGCTCTTGCTGTTGTGCGCCATCGTGTGTTTTGTGGTGCAATTGCAACTGATGGAGATAAATAGTCAACTTCTTAGTGTGCTTCTCAGTAAAAGGAGCTGGCAGCTACAGAAAATCAAGCAAACATTCGTGTTTTAACGCCAATATAAAACCAAATTTTTCTCTTCACGTCTATATAATAACCTCATCCTTCCTGAGTTCTTAGTACCCATACATGCCTGTTGTTTGTTGATGTTTTGCAATAGTACTTTTCTGATGTTTCTAACGAATATTAAGTAACCAGGCCACCTTGAAGGATTTATAGTTTTTCATTCTAGCTCCAGTAAAATTGATTGTGCAACTTGTGGCTGTGGTTTAATTCCATTTTTTTTTTTGTCATTGCGCAACTCTGTGTGTGACACAAGTATTTCTCATTAAATAAAATATTCCACAAACACATGTCACGGACGAGGCACTCGCAGGAAAACTCCAAAGCACATGCCAACTTTTGTCATGATTTTCAAACTGTAAATAACAGATCAGGCTGTTGAGCTCGCCAGTACTTCTTCTATCTGACCGCTAAGGGGCGCAATTGTTGTGTTTACTGGTCATATTTTAAACTGATGAGACTCACAGGAGACTTTAAGAAGTTGGCCATCTTTCTCAGGGTTGGGCAGCCTATTATTATAACCTGAGTGCAAATTATTTATAGCCCGCACTGATCAACTGCTACACTCTCTGTAATTGCAGTCCAGTTATAGCCACTATTTCCACAACAATCTGTGACTTGTCCTTAACAGCATCATGTTATTTAGATAAATATCAGGCTGACATGGTGCTGAAGTAATACAATCTTCAGACACAATTACTCATGAAGGGGGTCACACAGAGCTTTGTGAAGTTTGTTCTTGCAGTCATCTGACAGAATTGAATGAAAAGTTATATTTCAAAACAGAGGCCAATAACAGATTATTAATGGGTGTCATCACTGCTTTGTTCTGCAGGTTTTAAAAGGCTTGTGTGAATAATCCTGGCCTTCCGCTTGTGTGTGCAACATTGCAAAATTATTCTCATAAATCCACAGCAATGTTATTGTCATCAGCACAAACATTACCACCACTGTGTACATCAAACCAGTTCAAAGCAGCGTCATCGTCATAAGTATCATCATTAATCACAGCAACAATATGCTCGTCTTTGTCATTCAGACCCCATGTGACTCTTCCTCATAATGCTCGATAGAGGAAGTGCAGCAGTCTATCCTGTTGTATTGTTTAAAGGAGCTATATATATTTCCTTGTGTTGTTTGGTTAGAAAAAAAGAATGCTTCCTCCTCCATCGGAGAAGACACTCACCATCGACTGGAGGACCAAAGAGCAAGCTGCCAGAGAGCATCCACGATGATGAAGATCTCCACGCTGCTTTGTAACAGTAGTCAAGACTTTGAATCTTTATGAGGGGTCGAAGGAAACCAAACTTTTCTTTGTGAATCAATCGAGAAGAAGAAGGAAGAATTGAGGTAAACAGAAAAAATAGACAGTAATGGAATGGAGAGCAAGAAAAACTTGATGTCTACCTACCAGTCATGCTAAAGTCTTTGAGCTTAGACCTTGAGCTTCTCCAGATTTAGATTTTTCCACACAAAGACTGATAAGGCAAGAGCATTGGCTTTGTCTCTCTGTTTTCTTGTCTGAATAGAGCCTGAATGAAAGACATTTGGAGTAAATGTTCAAGTGAACTAATGTTAAAGTAGTAAAAACGAAAAGATTTCATGGCAAGGAAAATAAAGCTAGAGGCGACTGATGTGAATGAAAATAAATAAAAAGTCTATACACCCATAGGGAAATTTTTGTTTCTGTGAAAATGAGTAGTGGACTACATTCTGTCCAGGGTCGCAGGAGGTTGGAGGCTGAACCAGCTGACTTTAGACCAGAGGCGAGGTAGAACCTGGACAGGTCGCTAGTCCATCACAGGCCTAACACAAGGAGACAGACAACCATCCTACAGCCAATGTAGAGTCACTAGTTAATCAACCATGCATGTCTTTGAACTGTGGGTGCCATAGCATCAGGAGAAAACCCACACAGGCTACAGAAAATACATGTAATGTCCACAAAGAAAGGTTGTGAACGATCAGCAGGTTCGCACCCAGAACCATTTCACCTGTATGCATTCATAAGACATAAAATACATTTTTATCAAGTGTATTGTACAGAAGAATGAAACGTCTTTTGAAACAAATAAATTTTGCTTGTTGTGAGGTGTGGTGGAGGTATGTTGATCTACACAGGGTCATGGCTTAGTTTTGGTTGGAGGAATATACTGCTCTGAATGCAGAAGTAACCTTAATGACAAGTTCCCCCTCCTAAATACGCTATAGATCGCTTTCCCTGCTGTCTGAACACGACCCACAGTAGTGTTGTTTGGTTAGGTATCAGTTTTAGTGGTTTCAGGACAAAAAACCACCAATAGAGGACAGGAAAAGTTACTTTCCTAAACTCTTGCATTCCTCCTCTTGACTCTAAAGTGCGTTGTAGTCATGCTAAGCTATCTAAGTGGTCTGGTTTATCCACAAATTAAGCTACAAATCTGCAAATGAATCATTACTACAAATGAATCATTACATACACTGCAGGCATCAAGAAGCTATTCTGATTTTCAATAAAAGCGCGTTCCATGGTTCCCTCTAGGTTGGTTTCCTCATAGCATCCTTGTTTAAAGAAAAGAATAAATAAGCGAACGTTAAAAGAAAATAAAAGAAAAACTCAGAAAAAATTGCTTTAATAGGCTTATAGCCTAAATACAGTGTACATTACAGAAATAAAGGAATATCTTGTTATACCAAGTGCCAAGGATTATTGCCTTAGCCTTCGTTCTTTTGTATTTAAGCTGCTTAACCTGCAGGGTTTAACCTGAAGTGTTCACTGCTGTCGGGTGCATTTGCATAAAACTGTGTCAGACTCTGCTGGAAGGAAATCTCGGCAACAGTTTGCTGTGTTAAGTTTTGAAATCATGCTTCAGACACATGGAGAAATCAGCTTACTTGTTTTGAATAAAAACAAACATCAGGGCTTTTCTTGAACGAAGACACGGGAGTCTGACTGCATTAAAATTTTTACAGAAACTGCAAGGTGCATTTGTGTCAGTCCAAGCGGGAGGTTTTTCACTTGTGTTGGGCCTGTTAAAGGGACATTTTAGAAGAATGCACATCAAGAATGTACATAGATACACATCAGTAAAGCTCTTGACGAAGAAAGATGTATGACAGTATCTAATCTAGATGGACTCAGTTGAACCAGACTTGTGTCAGTACCACTCTGGTTAAGAACTGGCTCATCTGATATGGACATAACTGTATCTGTGCGTAGACAAGAACCACCAGCTAACCACACAACACACTGGCAGAAGATGGGAAAGAAAGTCACAAGTCACAAGTGTGTGTATATGAATAGTTGGGATGTCTGTGGTGTCTGTTGTGCTACTGGTTTTGAAAAAGCAGCGTAGCGTATAATTCAGATAATTTAGTCACGGACAATGGAGATAACAACAGCGTGTCTAGTCTCAGGAGTCAGGAATTCAGGGGTCAGATAATAACTCATTGTGATGACGATGTGGCAAAAGAAAAATCACTGAATGAGAAAGCAGGAGAGACAAGAAGTCAAACTGTTCTGTTTGAGCAAACTGCAAAGAGTCACATTTTGCTTTAATCGCCCCTTTATCTGTCAAACACAACCTCTTTGAATGGATTTTAGGATGCGAAATTCGCAGTTGTGTGTCAATACATTTTCATGTGTCGCCTTGGATTCACTAACACTCCCACTCTCCACTCTCTGTTCATTGCCAGTTACCTGCTTGAGTCCTTTCTAGCCAGATATGAATATTAAAGCCACCACACAGAGAGACACATTGTGCACAACATTTCTGAGCTTTCTCAGTCTTCTGGCATTTTAAAAAAGCCCTCCACACGGTGACCTTTTCTGAGCATACCTCTCTCTTTTCCCTCGCTCCTGTTTTTCCTCTGACTCACAGCCCATTGTAGTTCTCCTACTCAGCAGTGCTGTTTGCTTGCTGTCCTTGCTTCCCCTCCCCTCACCCTTCAATGCCACCCACACGTCTCCTCATCCATCCTCTCGGAGAACAATACTGAGGAGAGCTAACGACTGTAATTACCACAGCTATAAGTTAGAACGGCAGTGTGTGGCAAACAGAAAAAGGAATTTAGAAGCTGGATAGAAAGCATGTCTAATACATGCATTGATCGCATTGTGTATGCATAAACCATATGTTATGAAACTGGGACAAAT